TTATTGGTTGATTTCTTGATGACAGCCATTCTTTCTGGGGTGAGAAGGAATCTCAGTGTTGTTTTAATTTGCATTTCTCAAATGGCTAATGACTTTGAACATTTTTTTTCATGTGTTTGTCATTTGTATTTATTTGAGAAGTGTGTATTCATCTCAGATGCCCATTTTTGGATTGGATCTTTGAATTTTGGGGGCCTGATTTTTTAAAATTCTTTATATGTTTGAGATATAAGTCCTTTGTCTGAGGGGCAGTTGGCTAAATTTCTTTTTTCCCAATTTGTCGATTTTCTTTTTACTCTGCTGGTGATTTCTTTAGATGTGCATAAACTTTTCAATAAGATGAGATCCCAGTTGTTGATTCTTTGAAGTATTTCTCATATAGTTTTGTTTTTGTTCACGAACTCTCTGCCCATCCCTGTCTCCAAGATTTTTACCTACTTTCACTTCCAGTAGATTTAGTGTGTCTGTTTTAATATTTATATCTATAATCCATTTTGACTTGAGTTTGGTGCATGGTGACAGACATGGGTCGAGGTTCAGTCTTTGGTATGTGGAAAGCCAGTTTTTCCAGCACCATTTATTAAAGAATCTATCTTTCTTTCAATGAACTTGTTTGGCCCCTTTGTCAAAGATAAGGTGACTGAGTCTGTTTGTGATTGTCACTACATCTTCTAGTCTATTCCATTAATCCTCAGGTCTGTTTTTTAGCCAGTACCATGTTGCTTTTTATCACAGTAGCTTTGTAGTATAATTTCAAGTCAGGGATTGTGATGCCTCCTGCCTTTCCTTTGTTGCAATGGATTGCTGTTGCTATTCTGGGTTTCTTCTGCTTTGGGATGAATTTGAGGAATGTTTTCAGAGTACTATAGTTTTCATGGTATAGCTCTTTTCTTTTGTGAGATAGATTCCTAAATATTTCAAGTTTTTGAATACTATTGTGAAAGTTATGGTTTCCTTAATTTCTCTCCCTGTGTGTTTGTTGTTTGTGTATTGGAATGCTATTGATTTTTCAGTGTTGAATTTGTATCCAGCTATGCTACTGAATTTGTTGATGAATTCTAGGAGTCTTTTGGTGGAGTTTTTGGGGTGTTCTATGTAGAGTATCATGTGTGAATAATAAAAATTTCACTTCTTCCTTCCTGTCCTTATTCCTTTTATTTCAATGTCTTGTCTAATTACTCTGGCTAATGTTTCCAGACCTCTGTTGAATAGGAGTGGTGACAGTGGACATCCTTGTCTTGCTCCTGATTTTAAAGTAAAAGCTTTCAGCTTTTGATCATTTAGTATGATGTTGACTGTTGGCTTGTCATAGATGGCTTTGATCAGATTAAGGTAAAGACTATCTATTCCTATTTTCTGTAGGGTCTTTATCATGAATAAGTGTTGGATCTTGTCAAAAGCTTTTTGTGCATCTACTGAGATGATCACGTGTTTTTTGTCTTTGGCTCTGTTGATATGCTGTTTTACATTTATTGATTGGCATATATTGAACCATCCCTGTATCCCTGGGATGAATCCCACTTGGTCATAGTATGTAATCTTGATGATTTGCTGCATTCTGTTTGCTAGTATTTGATTAAGTATCTTTGCATCTATGTTCATTAGGGAAATTGCCCTGTAGATTTTAGGTATTTTTGCCTCAAAATAATTTTAAGTATGTGTTGGAATGCCTATATTAGATGTCTTGATTTAACCATTTTACAATGTATACATGTATCAAAACATCATATCATATACCATAAATGTATATAATTTTTACTTGCCAATTAAAAATTTCAATTTTTTTTTAAAACTTGGAGTCATCTTGAATTACATTTTCTGTCCCTCATCCTCCTTCTAATGCACATACTTGGAGTAATCTCATCCATTTCCCAGTGACTGTCAAATATTTAGGTTTACCCAGTCTTCACTCCTGAGTTCCATACCCATATTTCCAGCTTCCGAACCAACTATCTCTATATAGACATTCCTTAGACGTTTCAAATAGCTCATCATATTTTCTCACACCTGTTTATCCGTGGTCATCTGGATTCCTTCCTTCCTACTTAATCCCTTTTCCCCCCAGTCAAGTCATATTGCTGGTATGAATAATTTGAAAATATCCATCCCCTCCATTCTCTCTGCTCTCCCATTTGTTCAGTCCTTTATTTGCTACTTAGATAATTATGCTGTAACCCTGAAAGTTTCTTGCCCTCTGTCTTGCCATCCTGTACAATCCTACCTGACAAGTCTTCCTAAAGCATAAATGTAATTGGTCATTTCCGACTGCTTAGCGGCATGCTGTTCAGTACAGTAGCCACGAGTCACATGTGCCTGTTGACCATCTAATACACTTAATCTGAATTGAGGTGTCCAAAAAGAAATGTACTCTAGATTTTTAAGACATAGTCTATTGTCTTGAGACCCTGTATCACTTTGAATGTTCTTGCTTTGATTTGTTTATGTTCGTGATACTGGTATGCTGCTACTGTTCTATTTGTTTGTTTCTCATGTACTACTCTCTTTAAAATAAAAAATAAAAATATTACAAAAGACTTAAAACAAAACAAAACAAAACACTTAGCCTGATAAAAATTATAAAACACACCATGATGTTTGTATATATTTGTTTAAATGTTTAATACGTTACAGTAATTTCCCATGTTTAAAACATTTTACTGTAATTGGTACAATATTTAAAATGTGGCTTTCCTTTGTGGCCTGCATTACATACGTATTAGACAATGCTGACTTTAGGGTCATGTTCAAAAATCCATGTAATGGTATTATGGTCTGGCTACCACTGCCTTGTTCATTTCAACATTTTGTTTAGTTGTCACAGAAATAGGGCAATCTTGGGTTTGGGCATATAGTTTAGTGGTTAGAATTCTTGCCTAGCAAGCTCATTCATCCCCAGCAGCTCAAAGGTAAAAGGGGGCTAATCTTAACTGTCTGCCTGATCTGCAGCCCCTCCACACCGGCTGTATGATGCTGAAGTTTCAGTATCCCTATCTGAAAAGATATAACACATATCAAGCATACACTGCCTAAAATTTGATTCTCCCAGGTGCACTCTGTCTATGCCCATCCTCTTTCAGTCACTTTTCTTTCTGTTGAAAAAAGCAGGGCCCGGGATTTAGCGTAGTGTCACAGTGCCTGCCTGGTCTTGAGTTAGATTCTCGGTACCCTTCCCCTCCCTGCTGCCCGAAAAAGAAAAAGAAAAAGAAAAAAAAAGCAGTATGGATGCAACTTGAAAACATAATGTCTAGTGAAATAAAACAGACACATCAGCTTAAGTACAAGATGGTTTCATCATATGAAAAATCCAAAGCATAAATAAAGAGCAGCATAAAGACAGATCCAAAGAAGTAGCAAGATAGGTCAAACTTCTGCAAATGGGACGGGAGCCAAGAGATGGGGGCGCATGGAAAGAGTTGAGATATGTTGTATATATCTACCAACTACCTGCAGTGAATACAAGCATGCGTCACAAACACGAACTAAGACAATGAAATGAAAATGTGGGAAGGGGATATGGACGCAGAGCCAGGGTGGAGATAGGGGAAGGGAAGGGGAATAAAAAGAACTGATGCGCTAAGTGCACGTACCTAATAAACAAACATAAGTACAAACAGAGCAGGTGACTGACGGCTGATGTCGTTCAGATGTGTCAGCAACCTCACCGACTTCAATGCACAGTCCTCTTTCACTCCTTGGTCACTGCGGTTGTCGTTCCTTTAGTGTTTACCTGATTCTGCATCGGAGACCTTCTGTGCTTCCCTTTATTTTTCTTCAGTATCCTGTCCTAGGGAGATTATTTTTCAAAGAGTAAGTTATTGTGATACTGAAGAAGTCTCCAGTCAAATGAAGAGCATAATCAAAAAGATTTTAGCTTGTCCTTGCCCATGAGGTTTTTCTCTGTGATATGATACCCTATATTTAATTCTTTAGACAAAGTAGGATTTAAATTTAACCTTGGGTTAACTACTGTCAGAAACAATATCTTCTCTCAGTCCCCCCTTTTTGAGCCTCTTGCCCATAAATATCATCCGCCAGACCCACACATTTAGCTATAGCTCAAACCAGAGAACGTACTTGGGGTTCCTTTTCATCAGTGAGGCCGCTTGGCAGAAAAGAGCTCAATTCCCTGTGGATCATCCTCAGCTTAATAGAGTTTCTAGTAATTGACATCTGGAGATAAACGATCTAATAAATCTTAAAACTGTGTTTTCCAGCTGGACTTGTCAATGATAACAGTAAGAGGAAATGTTTTAAATGCTATTTCTGTTACGAACTTCCATGAACATTTTTTGAGTACTCTGCTCCTGGCTTCTTAGCATTTTTTTCTTCACTAAGGAAAAGTTTAGGCATGCAACAGCATTCTAAAAAGGAAACGAGACTTTGGCTGTTATCACCCAAATGTAAAATGTAGCCTTTCAGATGATGTGGTCATCTTTTCTTTATGTAATGTCAGGATTTCAAAATGAGTAAAGGATGTGGATTAGGTAAGACCTGAATGCAAATATATTTTGCAAATAGTGTCTTTTGAGATAATTGCAAATGATGGTTGAATGCTGAAGGTATTAATACAATCAGTATTTAACCTTGTGTAACTCTGCTTCATCAAATCACGCCCTCCACGTTGATTGCATTAAGCTGGGTCAGTGGTATTTTTTCTTTTTTCTTTTTCTGCTTAGGAATATCTTATAGGAATCTTCACAGGAAAGCGGCAGTAGCTGATCAGCTACTGTTTATTTGCATACTGAGCATGTCATCAATAATACAAAAGACAAGGTCTTTAAATTGAGAGAACAGTGGGATTGCCGTGAATTTTGCTTAATGATGTGTAATAAGCCAAGTAGTCTGTGATGCCAAAAACTGACAGACTCCATTATGTTAAAACAGAGGTATGTCCTTAATTTAGGGGCATTATGTAAATCTGACAGGAGTGTTTTCCTGTATCTTTCTGCAGTTTCACTTTAATTGCTCCAAGATTAATTCTTCGTTTTCTCCTCTTCTAGAAGGTGATGAAACTGGGGTGATGGATAATCTCCTAGAGGCTCTACAGTCCGGTGCAGCCTTCCGAGACCGAAGAAAGCGGATTCCAAGGAACCCAGGTAATATTCATTCTATCTCATATGATCTTATAAAATGAAAATTTTCAGAGCCAAGAACCACCCACATTAAATAAAACAGAAAGATAAAAAGAATCACATGAAGACTTTAACAGTTTCTTGCAGTTTGTGTGTGAAATTTCTGCAGGCCTCTACATCTGCATGATTGCAACTTTGAACATGGTAAATATATCTTCAAATAAATGTGCACTTTGCAAAAGAAATCAGAGATACAGACTCACATTGTGTTTACTATTAATTTTTTTTTTTTTGAGACAGGCTCTTGCTATGTGTTTCAGGCTGCCTTTGAACTCACCATGTAGCCCAGGCTGGTCTTGAACTCGCCGTGATCCTCCTGCCTCAGCCCCCCATGTGCTGGGATTATGGGCATGCACCACCATGCCCAGCTACTATTAAATATTTTTAAATTATTATTATATCAGCAAGTCTTTTAAGTGAAAGGTAGTTTAAAATCATAAATGTAAGTCATTAAAAATAATTGGCCCTAAATATGTAACATTAGCTATCCACAGGTAAGGAAATTGAGACAATGCTTGTTTCTAGAGACCGTTTTGGTTTTGCAGTGCAGACTATTATCTATTAGTCATTTCATAAAAGTCGAGATGCCAATAACCCAAGATTCTCAAAAATCACAACACATTTTTATGTGTGTATTTGATGAATAACAAAAAAAGTAACACTATGAAAATTGATCTCAGGGAAGAAACAACCCTCTTGCTCAAGTGGAAGTGGAAAATTGTTCTCCTTATCCCCATATACCCTATAGTTAAGATAAATAATATTGTCTCTCAGTATAATCCAACTAAGCTTAACTGTCCAGCTCTTCCACATTAGTTTCTTTTTTTTTTTTATTTTTTTATTTTCTATGCCTGTCTTTCCTAAAGTAGAGAATCAAATTAGGTATATTGATTTTACAAGTCTTCTTCATGGACTGTAAACCTGTGTGGACAAGTAAATGAAAAAAAGAACATTAATAGACAATACATAAATTCAATTTAAATCAGTGCACTTTGATTGAATAGCCTGTACTTCAAAAATGTTCTGTATGTGGGCTTGACGTTATCATACATTACTAAAATGGAAATTAGTATTTCTTGACACTGTTAAAATTCAGTAAACCAATTACAGAAATTGGGCCCAGTATAGAGTTGTTCAGGAAAGCTTTTGTCAGTAGTGAAATTCACAGCACAAACCAAAATAAGTTTTGTCTTTCTCATATATGCGTGAATCCTGATGGGTAATGGATAGCATTCTATCTTTGCCCTTCATGGATGGTCTGTAGAGATTGGCCTAAAAGTAAGATTTGGTTGAAAGGAGAGAATTGTTTTGGTTATAGACTATTTTATATGTACATGAAGACGTTGAAGATGGCCTACAAAAAGAATAGAATACTGAGATGAGATAATAAAAATCTTTATTTATATATTCATCTTAATTTTTTAAAAGTAATGTGTGGCAGAATGGTAGGAACACAGCTAATCTACAACTATGAGGTTGTCACTTCACCTGTCCTTGGTGTTTGTCTGTAAAATGAGAATTTTCTACATACTTACAACTCTTAAAGAAAATAAAAATCCTTGTGACTTTTACTTGAACTGTCAGAGCAGTAATAGTGAACCGTTAACCACAATCCTCTTTATAGCAATTCAGCTCTTTGTTAAGCAGTTGATAATTAAAAATATTATTCTGTGCCACGAAAGAATTACCATAATTGTTCTACTGTATTTGTTTTAAAAATAGGCATTTGCTAAGGCCCCTGACTGATAAGTCTCACACCTCATAGTCATTCTACAAAGACTATACTGGGAGGAAACATCCCATGGGGATTTTGTGAGTTTGATACTCAAAGGAAAACAGTGTTGTCAACTGTGAAACACCAAGAATATACTCACAAACTGCATCAATTTAGAGCACTAATTCCAAATCATCTAAGTTGAAATATCCTCTAATTTGTAGTCTGCTTGGCTATAGCAGTCATTCTAAGTAACAACTGGAGCAAGTATCCAGAAAATAATAGTGGAGGTAAAAAGCAGCTGGCAGTTAAACAATGGCAATAACTGCTTTGGCACCTGGTACTTAGGTAGACAAGCTGGAAGTGAGAGAGAGGGAATAGAAAGCACAATTTACAAATTTGCCAAAAACCTTCTAGAAGAAGCAGCGCCATGGACTTCTGCAGATTTTTTCCTTTTTCTTGGCGTTTCGAACTAGACCATTTTTGCCTGCTGGGCCTCTGTTGTTTGCACTTTCTTACTTACCTGATTTGGTTCCTTTCCAAGATCTCCTCCATCTAGCTGTGATACACTTCCCCTGTTCAGCTCTGGAATCCTTGCTCTTTATAATAACCTCCGCTTCAACTTGGCGAAAGAAAAGCAGAAAAGTAAAATAATGAAGAATTTCATTTTCCCCAAGGAAAGGAAATAGTCCTCCCCGCAAAATCTCAAAGCAGAGCCAACCAAAACCAGCAGTGATGTACTGTTCCGCTCGCCATCTCCGTTATCATTGTTTACAGCTGGAAGTGACTGTAAAATGTAGAGCACTATCACTGATTTTCTCATTGCACTGTTTTGAACCCAATATTTAAACAAAATAAGGTGTTAGTTGGTATTTTTCATTAGAAAGTCACAATGTTAATAAATGATACAATTAGTTGCTTAAATTACAAATCTTTCATGTTAGGTCTGTAACCTGTACCCAGGAGCTTTACATTAGTTAAATCAGAATGAGCTCCCAATTATTCTGGACCATTTGGCTGTTTCATTTAAGAACACTACAAGACATTTCAAGAGATACCATCAAATTAGGAGTGATATTAAAAATATTAATAACTAGTGTAATTGAGTTCCAGTGAATCCGAATGTACATAGGCAGTGAACGGCCACTCTAGTTGTACTGGTATGTACTGGCCGAATATTAATTCAGGTCCTAGGCTTTGCTGATGTCAAACACAGATTAGGAAATGAACCCCTAAATGTTCGTTAATTTACTATATATCTTTTCTATGAGAAGGTACTGTGCTAGACATGATGAAAGATGGAAAAATAATTAAGATACAATTTTCTTACTTATAAAAACCTTTGTGGTTTTTAAAAATGAGAGAGAGTACCAAAAGATTACAGAATGAGGCAGAAGGTAATAATTATCAAACAAGGTATTAATAACATGTTACGTAAGCTCAGAGGAGGGAGCCAATATGCCTTCATGGCTTCTTCGATGCATCTGAAAAATAATCATGGAGGAATGGTATTTGCAGGGTGGGGAGAGATTTCATTAGTAGCATTCTTGTCAAATGAAATGTCATAAAGAAAAGCACAGAGGCAAGAAAGCACAAAGCATTTTTTGGCAATGTCATATAATGCTTCAAAGAAGCAAGTTGTATCAAGTGTAAAAATGTGAAGGTAATTCTGGAAAAATAAGCAGGCACCACATCACGAAGTTCTAGAATGAGAACCTAAGGTATTAGCATATAGTTCTCTAGGCAGTGTGAATCTAATGAAGGTTTCCTTGCTTTTTAGAGGATGTTTGGATTGGTTTTGTTTTTGAGTTTTGTTTCTTGAGACAGATTCTCACAATATAGACCAGGACAGACTTCAACTTGCTGTGTAGCCCAGGCTGGCCTCAAACTTGCCATACTTCTGCTTCAGCTTCCCAAGTGCTAGGATTATAAGCCTAATCAAGATTTTTAAGCAAGGGAAATATGATCAAAGATATGCATTAGGACATTTAAGCTATGTGAGTGTAAATGATAAATTAGGGGTTTACTGGCATAGTTTTAGTCAAAGGAGTTAATGTAGGGGACTCAAAAATAGCCGCAGGTGAAAAGCAGAGTTTCCAGAGAAGATAGACAACGAACAGTTGGATGAGGAGAAAAATCCAGATATTTGTCCTAAGAGCAAAGGGAGAAGGAAGTTTGAAAAAGGCAAGAAAGAGGCAATTTTCAACAATGACGTATTCTTTAGTAGAATCAAAAAGGATAAAAATGTCATTTGGGAGTTTTCTAGTGATTTAAGAAATATTCTTTCAATATCATAATTATATTCCTTTCAATATTCTTTTAGATTTTAGTGAACAGACTTTCAATATTGTATGTAGCCAAAATGCACCAGCTATATAGTGAGGAGATGGTGAAGTCACTGGGAAATACTTTTACTGAATGCCTCCTTGGTTCCTTATGCTGGTTCCAGTACTGATACTGGAAGATCAAACAGTACACTTGCCTCAAGAAGCTCCCATACTGCTTTGGAAAATATGAATGTCAACTAAGTAATCAAATTATAATGGAAAACTCTATCTTCTGCAGTAACATGGGAGCTAGGAGCACTTTTCCTAATCCTTCTCCTTTGTGTCCCTAGAATATGAACTATACTTTCTAGAAGTTCGGTGGATGAAAGTGATTTCTTATTTTTCCCTTAACAACCTATTGTTGATCCTTCATCTATGAATTTTTCTAGATCTTTCTTGATGCTCTTTGTTACAGCATTTGCTACCACTTAAAGTAGTAAGTCCCACATGTTTATTATCTACTTTGGATAGAGCTTCTCATCAGTATTCCTGACTTTGCTTTGGAGGAGGAGAAGCAAATAAAACCTCACAGGAGTGAAAAATATATTTAAAATACAAATACACAGCCCTACATTTGTTTTGTTACTAAATAGGTATAGATACTTAGAGCTTGCTCCTTTTGTCCCAACCAACCTGACTTCTTTCCTTGCCCACTGTGAGTAAATATAAATGGGCTTCTCAACAATAGGTAGATATCTAACTTAGCTATTTCAGCTATGACAATATTTTGATATATAGCTCTATATCAGGTTAATAATATCCCTCAGTTATTGCAGGCTGATCAGGGCCACAATCTCCCAAATGAGTGTACAGTGAAAGCTAAATAAAAAGAGGCAAATGGAATGTTTTCTCGGCTCCAGGAGAATCAAAGCCTCTCACAGAATTCGAGATTCTCTCAGGGCTAAGATCAAGACCTTCTCTGG